TCCCTGCAGCCCCATCACTCCTCCTGGCCCCAGTCATCACTTACTCATCGGACTGCCAGAAAGTTCCAAACAGAAAGTTCCAAACAGTCTGAACTCTCTAGGGAAAACTGGAGACAAGGTTCTAGAAGCATCCAGGAACTGAGTAAAGAGTGAGATCTAGGAGGAGGGTGATGTCTCGGGAGACAAACACCTTCCCTTCCTAAGCTGGTTTGATCTCTAAGCCTGTGACTGCCAACTCTCAGGACGAGGATACAAGAAGGAAACTCTCGTGGATTGTGGTAACTCCTGAAATGGACCTAGCAAGGCACAGTTAAGTCCTTCTGCACAACTGAACTGAATGAGCTGCAATATTGTGCCCGGCAGGCTGATCAAGCCTAGCCTTCAGGCTCCTTCAAGAGAAAATCCCTGTGAGACATGAGTGCTAGACCCTTGGGACGAGTTCTACTGTCCTCCAGAATGTTCCTCTTGATTCTCCTTAGCAACAGGTAGCAAGTAATTTACCCAGCCACGGACAAAACCTTCCAATCCAGACAGCCAGTCAGTGACACCTGAGAAAGCCCAGAAAAGGGCTCCAGGGCCTTAGGCAAACCATGTGACTTCATCCACAGGGCTTAGGAAGGATAAGAAGCTGATTAGTGGGTGGGAAGCGTCCACACAGACAGTACAGTGGATAACGTGGCTTTCTAATCACCACTACAGACAGATTTAGCGGTGACAACTTTGGTCCTGGACTTGGAAACTTCAGTGTGATGTGGTCGGGTATTTGGTAAACACTGTCTAACCAAAGTCAAATAAGCACTGCAAAGGGAATAATCAAAGTGTCCATTACAGACACATTCGGCTTACACTATGTGTTCACACGTAGGCCTGCCACAGGCAGGGCGCAAACCCAAATGCCACATGGATGAACAAATGACAAGCAATGGATGTACCACAGTGGCACTCCTGAGCCACGTCCCTTCAATCTTCCTCCGCCCACAGAAAGAGCAGGGACAAGTACAAAGGGCCCTGGGAAATGTTTCTGAGTCCACCAGGGTCTCTAGGGATGCCTGACTTCTCCTACAGTGACTGTCCACAGACAGCAAGTTCTCTTTGCTATGAAAACCATCATGAATCTCCAGTCCAACACTTATGCAAGGATAACTCAGGGAGAAAGCCTGCCCAGTCCACAACCACAGGCTGAGCTCTGGGCTCTCCCCAACTGCTGACAGCACCGACCACAGCACTGGTGTTGGTGAGGGTGGCTGGAGCACTAAGGGAACAGCCACTGCCATCATAGTGAGCAGAAGACAGAGACTTCTCAAACCCACCCCAGGCAGCATCACTCAAATCAAGTGTCCTTGGAGGTTGCTTTTATTTATCCATTCATTCATCCACCCATCCACCCATCCACCCATCCACCCATCCATCCATCATCCATCCATCCCTCCCTCCATCCATCCACCCATTCATCCTTCCTAGCACTGAAACTGCTTGGGTGGGAAACTTAAAAACAAAACAGAGGGCTTCAGTGGACACATTACATGAAAGCCCATCTTTTGCTAAGGTTCTGAGAAGTTACGGACTGTAGTGATGGGACACCTATGCTGAACCCCAAAGGGGATAAGGATTCTCAGAGGCAGAAGGAAGGGCAGTCGAGGAGTCAATGGGAGTTGAGGCTGGCCAGCAGGTTTGCACCACATTGCAGACAGCTTGGGTTGCATTCTCTGAGCAGGAGGGAACCACTGAAGGAGCAGGAAACAGACAGCATAAGTCAAGCTTAGGAAGAAAGAGTACAGGCACAGAAGGCTGGGAAGCAAAGGTGGGAATCGGCAGGATACAGAGGCAAAATGCACTAGCACGAATGAAGATTCAGGGAGGCTCTGGGAATCAAGCCAGTGAGGCCATGAGGCAATGCTCCGGAATTGGGTGCTGGAAACACAGCAGAGGAGCCATTCCGGTGCACTGTGCCCAGGTTCCACACCTCTAGGAAAAGCCTTGGACTTAAGTCAGCTGCAGCAACTTCTGTCCTTGGAGCCAGCAGAGGCTTCGGAGAGATACACAGTGCTCTGCCTCTGATAATTCAACCAACTCCAGACCCACTTTTTTTTTTCTTCTATGGCATCCTACTGAACATGTGTGGACTTTCATTGTCACTAAGTCCTATGCTGGTTAGTTTCTGCTGTAAACTTGACAACCTAAAGTCACCTGGGAAGAAAGAACCTCAACTAGAGAACTGCCTCTTTCAGATTGGCCTGTGGCTAATGTGAGAGAATCCAGCCCACTGTGGGCAGCACCAACCCTAGGCAGGCAGGCCTGGGCCATAAGAAAGCTGGCTAAGCATGAGCCACAGTGAACAGTAAGCAGCATTCCTCTAAGGTTTCTGCTTGAGTTCCTGTCCTGACTTCTCTCAAAGATGGACTATGACCTGGAAGTGTAAGCTGACAAAAACACTTCCTGCCACAAGCTGCTTTTGGTCATGATGTTTTATAAGAGCCACAGGAAAGCAAACTAGAACACACCCTGAAATAATACAGCATGACAATAATTTCCCCCAACATTTACATTGCATTAGGTGTTATGAATAATCCAGAGGTTATTCAAAGTCTCCAGGAAGGTATATGTAGAAGATATGTAAATACTATACTAGTCTTACATAAGAGACTTTATTTACCACACTCAAATTTTGTTATCTTTATGGGGAGTCCTAGAACCAACTCCCATTTTCCCAATGCAGAATTCCAGCCACCCCCACAATCCACCTCCAGCCACCACCATGACGGTGGGGCCAGTCTGGATGCCACCAGCAGGCTATGTCTGGTGTCTCTGCCCACCCATCCTGGATGGAAAGGGCAAAGGGCATCCTACCACCCTACACAGGGTCCCGTCACAAAGATCCCATTGTGTAATACTCAACAGCAGCTTGGTTTGATGATAATAATGTGTTCTGCTGATGATGTGTGTGTCCCCTTCTTTACACTGGAACATTCGCTGCATTTTCTTCAGCAGGCAAAGCCTTGCCAGGCAGAAACAGAGCCTCCGGGGCCAGGGAAACCACAGAAAGGTAAAGATTCACCCACCAGTGCAGGTGACAGGGATTAGAGGAGGTGAGAGGGACAAGAGGGAGAAGGTTTGGACAGTCTTTGTACCAATTTACCCAACTGCTTGTTTCTACAACAGCTAGAAGCCCTTCAAGTTTGCACTTGAAAACACCCAAAGCCTTTCTGGCTTCAACATGTACTCAGGAAGCCATGGGCCCCTTTAAAGAAGCAGGCACCAAGTTACATGAAGCTAAGCCTCTACCCCTCAGAGCAGGCTTCAGCCACACACTTAAGCCAAGCAGAATATATGTGCACCCAGCAAGCAGAAGACAGAAAAAAAAAAATCCTGATTCTTCACCTGCATCACTAGAGCCCCTCCCCCAGGTGAAGACAGTGGGGCTGCTGGGATTCCTGCCTGAATCAGCACTATGGCTTTTGCAAGAGTCGTTAGTATTTTTCAACAACTACCAAAGCAACACAAATAGGGTGTGACAACCCTGAGGCCACAATACTAACTGTTTACCCACAGTCTTTATCTTTCCACCTTTTACAATGCTGTGGTTCCAACTCAGAACCTCCCATATGTGAGTTCTACTGCTGAGAGGCAGGCTCGGCCCTTCTGTTCTGTGAGATCTGTTCATCGAACCCCCTTACTATTGAGGCAAACTGACTGCATTTTGAACCGACACTAGCGTCATCACATTCCATCCCAACAGACAGAGCTGGCCATCTGGCCCACTCCCTTTCCCTGTAAATATCCTCGGGGCCCTCCCTCTATTGACCACCTTAGGTCTCCTGGATCAGCACAAGACATACTGAGATGCCTCCACCTGGGAAAGGAAGGAAGCCCGTAAGTGCTGTCCCTAATGCTTCAGATTGAAGACCAGGATGACAGGAGCACCAGGGAGTCAGGTGTGATTTAAAATGCAGGAAACTTGAGACATTGCTCCTCTAGCTTCAGGAAGACAGATGGGAACCTTCTATACAGACCCCAAAGCCTCAGTCATCCCTGAAAAACACCCAAGAAGACAGGCTTCAAAAGGCACAAACTGAGTCTCTTTCTGTGCTGGTCCAAACCCTCTTCCCAACCCCACTGCTAACTCCCCCTTCATGACAACAGTATACTGACTTTTGCTCTTAGATAAAATCCCTTTTCTAACATAAGAACTCTAATAGGCCACTGTGCAGCTTCCTGACCTCCACCAACCCCTGCTCAAAAGGCATGCTGGAATCAAACCATTCATAAGCAAACTCTGAACACAGCTGCCATGTCCAGTGAATACGCTTTAGACTTGACTGAACCAAGGACACAAAACCCTGAGAGTGATAACATGAAAGGGCTCCACTGTGGGTGCCAACAGCTTTCCTGTTTAACAAACAACTAGTATCAGTAGGTCTTGTTCCAAGCAAAGGAGACCAACTCACTTAGTGTCCATCCCAGGTTAGAAAAGTGCTCCCTCAATTGAGCTTCATATTATTGGGATGAAGGTTTCAGGCTAACACTCCATTTGCACCTGAGTGTGGTGGCATATGCCTATCATCCAAGCAATGAACATCAGTAACTAACCTCAGCTACACCAAGAGATTGAGGTTAGCCTGTCTAAAAAACAGACAGAAAACACTTCATTTATCCTATCTTCATTCTGAGAAATATCCTTGGAATTTTTGTACTCTAATATGTATGGCTTCAAATGTCATATTTTTCACAACCCGGACACATGTGGAGGTCAAGGAGGACAAAAGTGCCAGATCAGATTGAGCAGCAAGACCTCCTCTTGGCCTATATAATTCCCCAGAAGCTCATCCTCAAGTTCAACTGCAGAAGCAAAGTTTAGCAGAAAATGAGGCTAAGGGAATAAGACAGTTTACTATGGTCTCACTCAGAGCTCTGCTCAGTTTGCCAAGGTTACAATCTAGCAAAACCCACTCATGTTCACACTGCCCTGGATTCATATTAAGGTGATGATGCCCAAGCCTTACTGATCATGGTGGTTCCCCCAGCCAAGGCTGCCTTGGTTCCCTGGAAGAAGTCATCAGCTGACGTCATTCCCTGGTCGGGCATCTGGAAGCGAGTATGCACGTCAATTCCTCCTGGGATCACCATTCTGGAATGGGCTTCAATGGTCTTCACTCCTCCTGGCACAATCAGGTTTTCTCCTATTTGCCTGAGAAAGCAGAGTTGGTGGGAGAGGGACCAATGAAATGTGGAATCAAATCTGATCTGACATCTGTTTTCATTAGGCTATAAACTGACCTTCACTACAAGATGAGCGTTTTTTGGGGAGGGTTGTTGCAATAATCTTCCTTGGGAGCACCACCCACTCCTCATCCCAAAACATGAGCAGATGTAGAATGAACTAGGAAACTAGGCTTAGGGGCTCACATAATCCCAGCAACTTGAGAATCTGACACAAGGATTACCTCTAGTTCTTTTAGCCTTAGCTACAGAGTGAGTTCCTGGCTCACCTAGACTGAAGAATAAGGCCCCTATCTCAAAGCATAACTTACACAAGGCAGCAAATTCCTCATTCAATGACGAGTTATCAGAAACCCCTAAGCTTGAATAATAACAAGGCCCCAAAACTCTCCACTGACAAGCCATTCAGCTAGTTTTCCCTCTAGACCTATTTCCCAACATTTGTTTGACCATTTTCCTTTTCAGTGTAGGGGAAAGAGGTGGAAAAATGTAGAGGGAGCAAAACAAGGGAAAAAAGAAAACACTATGATTCCAACAATTGTAGAACATGAAAGCAGGTGCTCATGGATTCAGATAAAGGTAGAAAAACAAATATCCATGCTGTTAGGGGCATGCATCGTGTCCACTGTTGTGACCTGTTTTTTATTTGGTTTTGAGGGGCCTGGGGTTTTTTGTTTTGTTTTATTTGAGACAGTGTCTTTCTACAAAGCCCTAGCTACTCTGAAACTCACTATGTAGTCCAACCTGTTCTCAAACTCACAGAAATCCACCTGTCTCTGCCTCCCCAGTGCTAGATTAAAGGTATGTGCCAACCCACCCAGCTGTAGGGTTTTATTTTGGAAACAAGATCTCATATCCAATTTTTTAAAAAATTTTGCTACATCTTTCTACCATTTTTAAAAAGAAAAATTAATTGAGGAGTTAAATTTCTAAGACAAATAAATTACGACTAAAAATAGCATTGGGCTGCTCCATTCCAGGCCAGTGTCCTTCAGCCAGACTCATCATGCTCTCCTACAATTGGGGATGCTAAAGGAATAAGAAAGTCATCGCTGTGACTGTCCAGAGCCAAGACTGTTACAGACAAACACACATGGAGAAAGCATTAACTGTGGAAACATTAAGATTCATTCTGGCTTCATCAATCAGGGTGTGAGCTTCCAAGCAGTTAGTCCAGCTTGCCTTTTTCCAGACTCACTTGCTGCTAGAGTTTGATGAGCACTGCTTATTTAAAAGATGTCATTCCCTGGGTTGTTTGTCTTTCAACAGATGTGTTCTCTCTCCAGAGCCCATGAGCCATCCCCAGAGGAAAGGCATGAAGATATTGCTGAATACTCCGCTCAGTTAACCCTCAAGAGTCCCAGAATACCCAAACCCAGAACCCAACACACAAGCAACACGGGGTGACCTTATTTATTCTAGGAACCACTTCAAGAATGAAGCTTAGGGCAGGAGAGATGGCTCAGGTTTTAAGAGCATATGCTAGCCTTGCAGTGGAAGCTAGTTCAATTCCCAGCACCCACAAGGTGGCTCACAACCATCCGTAACTCCAGTTTCAGAGAATCTAATGCCCTCTTCTGACTTTCAAGGGTACAGATGTGGTATTCATTCATACATGGAGGCAAAACAGTCATACACATAAAATAAATCTAAAAGACAAAATTTTAAAAAGGAATGAAGCCTAAAATCCCTCCAGCATTAGGCAGTCATTTACTGGGTTGCTGGTAATTAACGCAATGTCCTGTGGCCATTCCTGATTAAGCAAGCAGATATACATCTTAATTGGGCAGGCTGCAATCTGCATTTATGTCCTATGACTGGGTACTCCATCCCAAACAACTACAGTCTAGGAAAACTAAAGTACATTCAGCCTATCACAAACCACGTACATGAGCTGGCAACAGGAGGATGTTGTGTCAGCTCTGTTAAAAATAGTAAATTACATAATGCATGGGTGTTTGTGTGTGCTGTGACTTTGAATTCCCTGAATCTGAATCCCCAAATTCATTAATTACCACCAATAAAAATGGGCTTAAAATATGCTAGATTGGCCACCACTTTTGGCAGTGCCTGACTAATGCCAGATGCACATCCTACAACATCCCCTCCCCAAGCTTAATAACTCTTAGAGTCATTAAAGCTTGAGATTATTTACATGAAAGAAGCTAAAGCTTAAGAACATGGTGAGTGTGTGTGTGTGTGTGTGTGTGCGTATATGCACCTCCACATACCAATGAATCATTTACTTACTTGATCAACCCATCTTCCATGTATATGTCTGCATAAAAGGATTGGTCATCATTCACGATCTTGCCACCTTTGATCAGAAGGCGATCACTCTGTAACAAAGACAGGAACAAGGTATAACAACATAACACATAACTGACCTGGGAGAAGCACCAATCCTGAGAGGAGGGGGGCAAAGGGCATGTTTTCACCATTCAAGAGTGATGCTCAAATCTGAGGGAATTTAGCCAGGTACCTTAACCAAAGTGAATCTATGCTAAGCAGGCTGTTCATCACCTGATGAGTCAGAACACATGAGTAAAGCTCACCCTAGATAAACAAACCATCTTTTCATGAGCACCTTAGACCTCAAAACAAAAAAACAAACAAACAAAAAGGCCATTACAAAACATTCCAGCTAAAGAAGACAATGCTTTTGAAGTGATTTTTTGCTAAACCTCATCTTAAAAAAAAAAAAAAAAAAAAAAAAAAAAAAAAAAAAAAAAAAAACTCCACCCACATGTAGGAAAGTCATGTCTTGGCAAAGTTTTTGTAGGGGAAAACTGACCAAAAGTCTGTTGTCATAGCATATGCTACCCAAACACAGACTTCAGCCATAACAAGTTTTCAGCTTAGTGTGTCCATATTCTGTGTTCATTTCTCTCTGGGGTAAATCATAGCAAGTGCAGGAGTGAGTGAGGAACTATAAAACACATCCATCTAGCAGGTAAGAAACAGAGTTTTATGATAAATTAGAGACATGGGGAATTTTTTTTAAGACTAATGTCACTACAGATGGTTAACCCACTTTTGTGTTAAAAAAAAAAAAAAAAACTAAAGGCTAATCCAACTGAGAGAGCCAAAGAGCATGTATAAGAAATGCTGTGTTCTGACTCATGACTCACAGCTATCCAAAATACAGTGGATGGGATGTATGTGATGTCATCCCTAGGTTGGGCGGATGGACAGAAGAGAGATAATCCTTACAAGCAGAGCCATCCCCTTTTATTATTATAATACACCTTTCAAAGAACAGCAAGTACTACCTGCATTTTGCTACTACCAAGAAAAGGGAAATCCTTCCCTTAAAATACACTCCTGATGCTACTAAACAAAGAAAACAAGATACAGTTGCACATTAATGTAAACACTATTGGGCTTAGGAAATATTTATTGTTTCTGTTACAATGAAAACCAAGATCAGTTCAGCTTTACACTGCAGGGGTCTTGTTTCCAGAGGTAGGCACCTGGAAAGTCCTTGAAAGCAGTCAACAAGGAGAGGGTAAACAAAAACATCTTTACCAGTCCTGCCCAACACTCTATGCTACGGGAGCCTGGGAACCTTTGTGAAGTGAATGGTGCAAGATTCTACTACCGTGACACATGAGAAGACTGGGGCTCAGTGTGCTTAACCCTGCAGGGATCCCCTCCTCCTCTCCCCTGAGAGGAATGTCTGTAGTCTGGGAGGCAATAAGTCTTGCTCTTCACTACCTCCCACTCCTCAGGGAAGTACCTGTCGGAGCCATCTTTGAGAATCCCCCAGCCAACCAGTCGGGGGAGGGTAAAATAATAGTCTGTTCAATCTAGAGGCTTCTAGAAGACTTCTTACATAAGAGGCGGGCCACAGTGACACAGGGAGAGAACCAATATGTCCTAGGGCACACGCCTAGATATTCTTAAGGGATAGAGAGGGCGCTCTTCTAAAAAATGGTCTTGTTGGTTGCCTATTCCCCCTCCCCATACTGTCAAAATGAAATTGTCTTATTCGCGCAGGAAGACACAAATCACGAGAGGTTTGCAGGAACTCTCCCCACCCCCACTGCCTAGCTACCCAGATGTGGTCCTTCAGAGCAGTGAACATTTTTTTTTTTTACATTGCGTCCTGTGTGTCAGTCCTTCGGGATCTGGTTCAGGGGGTGGGAGTGGGGGGAGGGGGCTTGAAAAAAGGCTAGTACCCACCCTCGCCTGAGAACTACCAAGCTAGAAACCCCAGGCACACGCCCCCTCCCCTGGGCAACTGTTCTTACACCACTCCTGCAGATGGGTGTGTCCCTGTGCACCAAGGAAAGGAGGCCAGGGTCCCAGGGCCCCAGAGGCAAGCAGAGAAAAAGCTCACCCTCAAATCCGGCCTTAAAACCCATCTTCACTATTTGGAAGATACCTTCAAATCTCCGTGTCCCTGGGTCCTAGCCGGCCACACGCTGGCCAGTGCAATCGCACAGCATTATATAACAATGAATTTCCTTGGCGATTCTCCCTGCCCAGGATTTCCTTCGAGGATGTAGAAAACTGGACCAGTGAGATTTTTTTTCAGTAAAAGATGCAAAAAGAGGGGGGGGCAGGGGCACCACCCGCTGCATCCCTGAAGCATCGCGAATTCCTTGCACAGATGCTTGGCAGGGATGGAGGCCGTGAACGAGGCCAGCACCTTCGCCGCGGTGATCATTGTCTAGGGCAGGCCAGGCCATCTGAGCGAGCCAGCGCCATTACCTCCGCGAGCTTGCTCGCTGCTGTCCCCAGCGCCCACCCGCCCAGCCCGCTTTGTATGCCCCACCACAGCCGCCTCCCTGGTGGCGGAAGGGGCAGGAAAGACGGAGAAAGCGAGCCGGGAGCCCTGCCAAGACCCCAGCCCCAAACCAGAGGCTCCCCAGGTCCTCCGAGTCCACAAAAAGCTCCCGCCCTTCTCTGCTCATCATCGAGTCCCGATCCTCCCTTTCCTCCACATCATCCCGGTACACCCTGCCCTTTCCAGCATCCCTCCGCTGTCATGACGCCTCCGGGTTGGAACTCTCTCCTTCTCGCAGGAAGAAGGCTCCAGAAAACTCTTTCTGGATGGGGCGGGAAACACGGGAGGATCCGTTTTCCATGCTCCCCATCACCGGAGTCCCGGAGCCCAGCCTTGCCGCACGCAGCCGGAGAACAATATCCGAGCGTCGACCATGCATATTCAATCTGGCATCCATTTGCTTGCACCCCGCGGGCAGCGCTGCAGCATCTCGTACTGACAATGAAGGATACAGCGGATCTGGCGCGCTACCTCCATGCACTCCCGCGCCTATTTCAATGTTTTGCAAATTGCGTGCCTTATAACTGTTATTACATCTCCCAGCCCCCACCCCTACCTTCACTGCCGTAGCCTCCGTTGGCAACAAGAAGGAAAAGTTGATTCTCTTTCTCACCTCCGCCTTTAAAATGCATTCTTTAGCTAGTCTATGTCACAAAAGGTTGTTCGCCTTTCCAAGTACCAAACTTACCGTGATGCGTGGAATATTTTTCTTCCCCTGATAAGACATCTCTCCTGGGGGGCGGGGGTAATTTCAAGAGGACAGCTTTAAAGCCAAGATAGCCGGGGGGAAAAAAAGACTTGGTTTAAAATATATGTATTTTTTTTGTAGGAAAAAGATACAATCCCTTAGCTGCTCTTGCTGTTAGAAGATTTCAAGACTGTAAGAGACAAATGTAATCCTCTGTCTCTTCTCTCCTCCAACACAGATCCAGCTAGGGCGGAAAAAAAGAAAGAGGGAGAGAGAACAGGAGGGAAGGGGGTGGAAATAAACTACAGCAATAAAAGCCTTGGTTCCAGTCAGACACCACCGCGCATGCGCCGCCAGCCACTCCCTTTCCTCCCAGGCAAAAGCCATCCGCTTCGCGAGAGACGCTCACTGATTGGCTAGAATTGTGGGATATGCAAATGAGAAAGGTGGGGCGGGGCTCAGCGCCCGGGCTGCGACTGCTGCAGTGCGCGCAGGGCGCGGTGCGTGCGCCCGAGAGGGGAGCGCGCCTTTCGCGCCCTTTCTCTTAAGCCTGGGAGGGCGAGCGGGGACTGCAGCTGGCAGCGGCCCCAGATGCTGCATCTGCAATGCAGGGCACAATGGAGGGGTG